CGCATAACTTGCAGGTAATATTCCTTATTTACTGTTCTACCCTGTGGCAAGAACTCATGATGCACCACGCCCCTGCAGTCAAAGAAAACTGTAAGCAAAACCTTTACATTTGATCGAACTTGGCGTGCTTTTTTTGGTCTTGGTGATCCAGAATGCCTCCACTGGGACGATTGAGTCTTAGTCTCGACGTCATAACCGTATACCCATGTTTCGTCACTTGTTATATCCTTGTTGAGTAAATCTGGATCATCGTTGACGTCATTCAGTAGCTCTTGGGCGATGCTCATGCGACGTTTCTTTTGGTCGAAATTGAGCAATTTCGGAACAAACTTCGCTGACACACGTCTCATGTCTAAAACACTCGTCAAAATTGATTGACACGAACCAAATGAGATGCCAATATCATCAGCAATTTCTCTAATGGTAATTCGACGATTTCCCAACACTATTTTCTTCACTTCTTCAACATTCTCATCAGTTGTTAATGTGCTGGGGCGTCCAGAACGAGGTTCGTCGTCGGTGTCTTCGCGGCCTTCTTGGAAGAGTTTATACCACTTGTAAACATTTTTTTGGCTTAAAGTAGACTCACCGTATGCCACTTTCAGCATTTCAAGTGTTTTGGAACATTTGATTCCATTTTTCACACAAAATTTAATGCAAACTCTTTGATCCATGTTTTTAGACAGCAGCAAATTGTGGAGCACGCAAAACACTTCTAACCTTGATGCCTCTCACAAACAAACCAAACATACTACAAAGCTGAGATTTGAAACGTATGTTCTAGACGAGTGTACCGACATAACCAAATAAAAAAGTCGAAGATCGAACGGACGTAGCCCGCTAAATTTCAAAATTCACCTTACTTTTTGATCACACCTCGTATGTCATAAAACAGTACAAGAAATAGTGTATTTACTCCTATTAAAAAGGGGGTTGCAACCCTTTGGTATAAATGTTGTCTTTAAAAGCGCCTTTTTATAAGAAATTTTTTAACGTTGAGTTTACTGAAAAATATTCATTTTATGCTGAGAAATATTAAAAAAGCTGATTTTAGGTGTTGATTTTCAGGGTGGACTCCACCCTTTAAATCCCTTATGGGCCGATAAAAAAAAGCACGTATCTAATTTTTTTTCAAGTACTACGACATATCCCAAAATCATTCAAATCGGTGAGGTCGTGTTGCTGTTGTTCCCTTGTTAGTACTACTTTCTGCACTCTTTCTGTTCTTACTTGATGCAATACACTTCGTATATTGCATTGCTCATGCCTAATAATTTCTAAATCCAATAAACAGTTTCGATAATCTTCATGATCTATTGTTTTTATGACAGTATGTGTTTTTACGCCTTTTGCTTTCTTTATTGCTTGATGGTTATCTATTAGTATACTATACATTTTACTTCGAAATCCTATGAACTCTCTCATAATATTACCAGTGCTTTCATCTTTCATAATACCGAGAACTTTTTTATTAAATAATTCTATTTTGAAAATTGTTGAATTTAGATTTACGCAAGCAGATAAAGCTTTATGTAAGGCAGCCGGATGTACAAATATTGCTATTTTATACGTTCATGGTGTCCAAAATCTTTATGCCTGAAACATTATTTTAAAGAATTTCATTGCTCATGCACCCGAGACGAGGTCTCTTCAGACACTCTTCACCTCGTTAAGCCCCAGACGCACATGTCTGAAATCGAGGAGGAGAGTCTGCTGCTCAGGGATATAGGGGTGGTGGCAGAACTAGTGCTGAGTCCCACAGGTCTCTCTGGGTCCAGGGCACTGGCTCGCACTGTCCGACGTCTGGGGTACGCCGAACTTAAGGGTCCACACCCCCTGGTCCACCGTGGACTTGAGAAGCTTGACTTCTTCCTGGTCCTCCGTTTGGGTCGAAGCGTCCCGGGAAGCCTTCTTCGGGGTGAGCCACGTGGCGTCCCAGAGATCGTCCGCCACCGATCTGTAGTGGCACTCCCTTCAAGTGACGCCCTCCAACTAGACCCTGGCGAAGCTACGCAGATCTTCGATTAGCTGCGTTGCGTCAGGGCCCAGGTGCAAATCCAACAGCATCTAGCTAACCACCTCGAGTCTCTTCCTCCACGACGATTCTCCGGTCCATCTGTAACATCCAAAAGAAAAATTTAGATGAAACTCCCTGCGCGAAGAAAAAACCTACTGTACGCCGCACCCCACCGGGTTACGCGTTCCCTCGCTTTTCCTTGCGTGAACGCCCTGGTTCTCGTCCGTCATCGCTCTCTTCCCGTCTCTTGTTCGGGATAATCGGCCCAACCGTCCTTTGTACGACAGGCACGGTCTTTCGAGGGCTACATCTCCCTCTAGATTTCTTTCCGGGAGAGTTTTCACCTCGTGCCTGACCGTTGACTGTCTCTGGGACCTTCCGAGATCGACCACGACCTCTTGGTTGGTGCGAATATCGATAAATCCGGCGCCTCGGTGGAATTGTTATCTACGGTCGTGGGGATCCGCTCGCTCAATAAATCCCCGCCCGGATCTTCGCACGCTCTCGTGGAATCGCCCGCCTCCTGCGATCCTTCTTCGCGCGGATCGCTAGGTTCGCTATCAGTCGCTTCTTCGCCCTCTTCTTCGTTTGGACCATAGTACGGTTTAAGGTCTTTGGCATGGAAGAGCTCGCGCAGGATCTCTAGCTGATTACCCAGTCTGTACGTGTTGGAACCACATATCTCTTCATTCACATTAGGACCAACGTATTTCGACGCCAATTTGGCTGATATGCCTAAGGTAGTTGAGGAGAGTACCCTATTTCTCTTCCATATCTAATCTCCGATCTAAAACTCGGGTTGTCGTCTTTTCCGGTCGTAGTAACCCGCCTGACGCGACGGTTCATCTTTTGACGTGGAGCTCACGTACGACGTGATCATGGTTTTGAGCGCCTAGTTTACTCGCTCTGTGGGATTCGCTCGAGGATGATACACGGTAGTCAAGGCGCGCTGGATGTCGTTTGTAAAAAACGTCAAGGAAGGTATTAAAATTCAAAAGAATGGACGAAATGGGTCGCGTGAGATGAGACATGAGCGTTCACGAGAAATATGAATTATAGTCACCGCACACACTGCTTGACTTCGAACCTTCGGCCGAAGTCCGAAGACGCGCAATAAAAATTAACTGCTGCTCTCGGGTCTAGACATCATCACGCGGCGCGACAAAAGTATGAAAATGAATCCACGGCTGAGTAATTGATAGTTACTTTAAATGTGAAAATTAGTTTAGCTTGCGGTTAGAGGATAAGTTTGCAGCGAATTTAGGATCGAGCGGCTTACAATTTATTGTAATCGTTTGCTAGAGAGAAGTGGACGTACGAGTGCGATCTTCGATGTAAAGTGTGAAAGGATGAATGAGAACGAATGTTGCAGTGATGTACACCTGGGCGGATTGTCGTGGACCCGCGATTGAGCCAGCGGTACTCGGAGCTCAAACTCGACCCATGGACATGCACGAGCGTGGGATGCGTTACGTGGCCGTGAAGTCAGAATTTTCAGATTCGCGGAGCTTGCTCCCCGAAGGCTGCAGACCCCGTGTGGAGTTTTACTCTTGGTCGTGTAGGTTACCTTATCTTACTTGATGAGTTCCGAATAGGGCAATGATGAGATTGCTCCTAGGAGCGGTATGCTGACAAGTGAGAGCGAGCGAGAGAGTCGGAGGGCGAGAGAGCGGGAACGCGATAAGCGTGCCAGCGTGCCAGCGCGCCTGCAAGGTCCAAAAGGAAAACATGTGCACGCAGCGGGGCAGCATAGGCGGCGAGGCTGGCTAGAAAATTCGGCAACATTTGACGTAAGACTTGTGAGATGTGAGTCCTCCCTTTGGACTCGTGCACGCTAATTCGATCCTGATTAAGATCTTTACTTTGTGAAATAGTGGCTTCTTTCTCACATGGTGAGGTTTTTTATGCCGACTATGTAGTTCTAACTTGATTGTAATTTGATTTATTAAAAAAAATATCATAAATTCAGTGTACTTATTTTAATCTCTCCCGCACAATTGCCCACCCCTAACACCGTTTTTCTGGAGGTATAAATCGACTTTCTGATTCTTAAACTCGGTTCCGTTATCCGATAAGAATACCTCTGGCTCGCCAAATCTAGTGACAATCCAGTCGTGTAATTCCTTTGCGATCGTCTTTCCATTGGCTTTTCGTATCGCAACGCACTCTACCAAGCGAGTAAAAAGGTCTATAAAGACCAGGACATACTCAAAATCTCGAGAGCTTTTGCTTCAGTTGCTGCTGCTGTGATTGCTGCTGCTTTTACTCAGCTTCCTCGTTATCACTCGCACACGTATCCAATATCCAGAAAAACTTTCGATTAGAAATCAACAAAACACAGTGTAAAACCTTTGGTGGTTCTATCTACAACAGCTGAGTCTAAACTGAAAAATTGAATACTCATGCGCCCCCTCTCTCTCTTAGACGTTCGCTCTAGCATCGTAAGTGTTATCGAATCGCGAATGTATCGATTGATCGAATCGTCTATCGTTGCAATGTATATGTTTATCTTTTCATAAATTTGAGAAATTAAGATGACGTTCTTCTTGATGTTGTGAACTTATAATCCTCTATAAATCTCGTGATTAAAGCGACTACCCAGAATGCTGTAAGTTAACGAGATTGATACTCACGTAACAGGTTACCTTATCAAATAACCATTATAGCTATTTTCTATCCTCTCTTTTATTATATTGATTGAAAATTTTAATTTCCATCTTCATATTTTTCTTCAAAACAAGAGAAATGAAAGAAATAATACCAAAAAATGACGATTGTCAGTATTACAGTGCACTAACATCATGCTTGAATCGAAAAATTTGTTATTTTTAAATGTTTAAAATTTCAACCGATTAATTTTTTGTAATATACATAAAAGTATGTTTTCAAATGTACATTAGTGTTGTTATTTCTATTATAATTATGTTAATACATAATAAATAATAATATCAATAATAAAATTTACATTATTCCTCTATTTTAGGTACAACCAACAAATACAAACCATAATACAAAGTCGTGGATGACAATCTTTGAAGAACTTGATCCATTATCAAATCAAACAGAAGATAGATTAATGCAGCATAAAAATTCATGTTAACAATATCGTAGACGTTCTGTTGTACTTTAGTGTAAAATTATATTAAACGGATATCTTCGCTTCTCTCAACAACCTCAAACTTTTGTTTGAAAATTTAAAAATATTAAACGCTAGTATCTATTACCGTCGTAAACAATGCAGCCTGTCTCAAATGTGCAAGTTCATTCAAAAATACTCTAACTAAACACTAAACACTCGAACTGCAATCATCTTATTCCGTTAGGATATTTTGAGGAAAGGTATAGCGAAAAAAGGAGTTAATTTTAAAGATAAAGTTTATTAAATAATAATTGAAATAATAACTTACAAAAAGTATTTATAATTACAATAACACCAGTACATACGTAAAAAATAGTGGTCTGTACAATAGACCAAACCTATCCTTATGTATTTTGACGCTGAATCCGAATTCGAAGTTGGTTTTTCTGAAACACCCGCAAAATTTTTTAAAATCGTGAAACACCGTGAAGAGTCGCGGAAAATTGTGAAAATTTGCATTTAAGAGAATAACTTAGTTGCAATACATTTTTTTATGAATGTCTTATGTATGATTTATCTGAATTTGAGACGTTTAAAATGAGATCTGATGAATATTTGTCTTTTATATGCCAACAACTTTGAAAAAATGTCAAAATCTTGTAAAACCGCTTAAAAAATAAAAATTTTGTTAGGAAAAAATATAAATTATAGCATTCAAGAAGTTCTATCTCTTTTCTATATATAATTTTTGTTTTGTCTTTTTGTTTCTTTTTTTTTCTTTTATGACGCCAACTCTGTTTGCTCAACTCTATTTTCCTCTCGTAACGAACTCTTTTTTCTTCAAATGACCTGTGCAAAGGATTTCTGTTTCTTTTTTACTGTTACTCACAGTGTTTCTTTTCAGCATCTAGCAAAAAACTGCCATCGTAAAATATAACGTACTATTTTCCTGAGTATCGATTTACCATTATACTTGTATCTTAATAGAATCGTTTTCCGTGTTCTTTGCTGAAGTCTCCAAGATTAGAAGGGAAGTAATCAAGATGCGAATGTATGCAATGCATTATATAGTTCATTAATTATTCCAAATTAAAAAAATTTTTTAAAATTTCTTCGACAAGTTCCTTAGAGTTTTTAATTTCTTTTTGTTCTAAGAAGTACTCACATACAAATTTTAAACATTTCTATGCGGTGTTCTTACTGACAGTTATTTTTGTCCTACAATTTTTGTCTTCAAATAGAGCACGAACTTGGGAACCATAAAAAATACCTTCTTTCATTTTAGCGTCACTTATGAAAAGAAACTTTTCTTCTAAATACACGAAACAATCACCATCTTTACTGAGAGCTATTACGTACTGTTTAATATGTTTGATATGTAAATAAAACTTTTCAACGATTAAGTCATGGAAACTGCTATGATCCTTATACTCACGTACCATTCATCGAGTAAGCTTACAAAATAAATATAAGAGAAAAATTATATAAGCGGTTTTAAAGGAGTAGTCGGGAGCTCTGGAGGACTACGGTACATGCACGATGACCTTAAAGTTTTATTAAATAGTATAGTTAAAATAATTAATTATGTACAAACCTTATATTCCCTTTCGACAAGCTACAGTACGGTATCATTTTATTTTAATCCAAGATCTGTTATTGAAATCAGTCGCACGATTTCACCTTCAATGCGAGATTTTATTATTACTATATATAGCCAAAAAATCGATGTTCTTGACGACGAATTCGAAAGTACTTCGCAAGCTTAACGCGTTCGCAATATCTCGCGTATAAAATTTAGCTGTACTTCTGCTGCATAAACCAACACTCCATCTAGGCTAGTATTTTATAATCCAATGGTACAGAACTCTACGGTTTTCAATCATGCTAAGGCGACAGCTTTCACTTCCATAATATATTTTGTAATGGAAAATCTCGGCTAAGCCGATTTCGTCTGCTTAGCTCTCACCAATGTCTGCGCGCCGCGCCAAGCTAAGAGTGTGTGCGTGTGGCACGCACACTCATGCTTGGATTTTGCTTTCACCAAATTTGAGCGCGCGTCGATCATTGGTCTACTAGTCGAGGGTGGGGATTATGCAAAAGCACTGATTTTGTCGCGCGTATAAGTCGAATATTATTAGTAGTGGGAGTAGCTAAGTCAAAGGGGATTTGTGCGGAGCAGCTCGGCATGGGTATATTAATATGTGTTCTTAGTCGCGCCGTGCGCTTTTTTTTTCACACAGTGGGCAAGACGTAAACGTCAGTTCAACGGCTTTTCATGCAGCAGGTCAGTCGTAAAAATCAACAGATAGGCCATGGAGTGGTAAGGCTGCAATGACTTCAACGGCCCTTTTTGAGGACCATTTTTTCAAGACGATCGCACAGCTATTCAATCATTATTTTCAATTAAAATATACAACAGCACGTTTCAGTGCTAAATCGCATCGTATGACAAAATATTTGTTCAATAAATAAACGAATTATATTTGAAAAAATTTATTGATATTCCATAAAGCAGCACTTTTCAGTGCTAAATTACAAAATTTATTAAAACCTTTGCCTGGTGTTTTTTCTTTTTTCCTATCCAATTTGCAGGAAAGTCAATAGGTAAGTATATGGTAGGTATTTTTTAATTAAGTTATATACACAAGGTTGAAAAAAAGACTGATATGATCATTTTTGTTTTAAAAATAATTACATATTTGTCTCTAATTATCATAAATGAAAAATGACCATATCATCTTATTTTTATAACAAATTCTAATTATTTATACGTAGCCACAAATTAAATTTTTTGAACAACCTTTACCAATTTTTGTAGAATTAATTATACTCGTATTACAGAATAGGAATATCTATCAGAGATGATAGATATTAAGAATACGCAACGCGCATAGTGACTAGTAATCTCTGGAAGAATGGCCACAGTTCAAGCGGCATAGTGTAGTCGAGCGAACGCACGAGGGGCGCAGGTTCAATTCCCAATATTGTTGATATATATATATATATATATATATATAATAATTGTAATTAATGATAGATATTGACTTATTTTTAAGACTTATTTATTTAAATATTTAAGTATAGTAAAATAGTCAAATATCTTTTTTCTGTTAGAGATTTAATTGATCGTTCTTTCTTTTCTTTTTAGCTGTGTAGCAAGTATATGCAATAAGAACTATCAAGAGCTAAAAGCAGCCGTGGCTCAATTGTTAGAGGCTACGGTCTATCGATCTATTGGACCCCAGATCGATTTCCCGTGGTGTCTACTCATTTTTTTCTGTTCATTAAAACATCAACAACAAAAATGAATTTTTACACTGGTTCACAATATTTCTTTACAAACTATGTACATTTCAGGTACATTTTTTAATGGTAATTGATTTAAAATATCGAAAGCTGTTCATCATAACAAAGGTATAATCGTAATAATTTCAGTTAAATCGAGAATATCTTGCTCTGAATGGTTTCTCTCAACGTCAAAATACTCGAATATATCAATAAGCGACTAGTTCTATAAACATATGACGGCTTTAAATTCTCAGTATGTGAATATTCATAAGTAGGCCTAGTACGTTCGTAGAGATGACATGTATTCTTTTCATAGGAAGTTCATATTAATAAACTGATGAAAAGATTTCCTAAATATGATAAAAAACTGTGCCCGCATGAAGATAATCGGTATAAAATATATTTATTGTGTTGCATAAATCAAAATTAATGTATGAAAAATCAGGTGCTATTTTAGAAAAAACTTGTGATAACTATTCAAGTGATGAGAGATTACCAGCAGTTATTTGTACAAATTATAAATTGTCATTGTAAATACACTTGGATCCTGATAAATTATATCAGTAAATATAATAGAAGGAATGATTAGGAAGATGTATTTATTATGATTAAGAAGAAGTAGCATTACTTTAATGGAGTAAATACGTCAAAAACCATACCCCTGAAGTTCAATATCACGCACTGTAATATGGTTTATTAATAATAATTCAATAATATGATGTATTATTCTCATAGATTCTCAGTAATGTAAAACGCTCATACGAAGAATAGTTTCGAATGTTATCGATCCAGCGGTGTAAGCGTAAGTTTCATTTATAAACAGTCGAACCCCAGCCATACATCAAAGATTTCGATCAAAGTCAAAGCTCGAAAAATATTTGTTTAATTTTTCTATTTTTATTACAGTTGATTTTTTTTTTGCTTTTATACATTATTTTAATCAATTTTCTCTGACTATGCTATGGGTAATCTAATATATTTTAATAGTTTATAATTTAACTAATTCGAATCGATTTTAATTATAATACTTTCAAATTGATTTTGAAATTGATTTCAATATATTATGTAAGTTTCAGAAATAGACTGAAACAAGGCAATTTTTCTATTCCCGGCCAATGACCTCTTTTTATCACAAATACGAATAAAAACATCGATTTTCATTATTATTTTAGAGTACTTTATCTACTTAATTTAGAAATTATCTATTACTAATACTGCAATAGAAAATGAAATATATTTAATTGTAATAAAAACAGAAATATTGGAATGTTGTTCCAGTTATTGTTTAAGTTTATTTGGCGAGTATTTACTATTATTTACTATTTATTTATATTTTTTCATTAATAAGTAACTACTAATCTATAAACAACTTTGATAACTTTAGAAGCAGTATCCTTATCAAAGTGGCTGTCGTAAGCTTTATCTAATGTTATTACAGTCAAAGGTTATTTCTTGTGCTTTCTTTAGTTCAAGAATCTACTTATCCGACATCTATAGCATATGTCTTTCAAGTTGTCAGATTCATTTTACTAATCAACAGTGCTTATTGTTTGTGCCTATATATAAATGTACATATATATAAACAATAAACAGTAGTATATATATATATATATATATATATATATATATATATATATACATATTAGTAGCAGTTGCAATACAGTTGTTAATTACTAACAATTATAAAATAGTGATATCCGATAAATTAGTGATAAACGGCGAAAACGGTAATTCGATATGTATTATAAAAGAATATGAATCATTTAAAGGTCAAAAGAAATTCTGAACTTCGCTAAAAATACTAATTAATTATACTACTGACGTTTATTAAAGGTGGTATATTACTATTATACTTAGAAAAATATACGACACTATACCGTTTCTTACATCAGAAAAAAGTGTTATTCTATGAAAATTGTTATGACTGTTTTTATGATCCATAGTCCAAGTAGAGCGTAAATAGTGTGTGCGTGTGTATTTTTGACGGCGTGCGTATGTGTGTGTGTATGTATGCGTTCCTATATTTATATTGTTTGATATAATCTAATAGTTCTAGCAGTCTTATACAGAAAAGTTTAATGTTTCAAAGCTTCTTTAGATTAAGTATTGGTAGAGATTAAAACAAAATTCATAGAGATTGGTGGAATAGAAATTTTTGAGTGAAATTTTTTTTTTAAGTTATTATTGCTAGAACATCTAAAATCTTTAAATACTTTTAATAATATATACATTTTATTGAAATAGTAATGAGAAACGGGTATAAAATGTGACGCGCGATTTATCATTAATGTGATGTAATAATAATGCGTATGGTCCATCCTACAAAACTTCTATTAATTTCTATTCAAAATAATTCATATTCAACGATAGTTAATCAATTTCAATGAAAGATATGATATAATATTTCAGTAATCATTCCAAGTGAATAATTTTCAATGAGCTCTAATGGAAATTATAATGAATAGTAAAAATGGCAATTGATTTTGATGATATTGAACCTTATTAAATAATCTCTTGAATATCAAATAATTTTATAATTATTTATTAAATTATTTATTAAATTTACATTAAAATTACTCAATACAAAACAGTTCATAAAGTTGAAATAAAATTAACAATAATAATTTTATAAATTTCAGAAATTATTATTCAATAGCGTAATGATCCAATAAAATTTTATTAAATGATTTCTTGTGCATTCTAATGACTGAATGGCACAATAATAGACCAATTATTGTACCATATAATAGTAATATGCACTATATAATAATATGGAATGAAATTTAATTATATTGGAATAAGTTAATATCATTTTATATTATTATGTAGTCCATATCATTATGAGATACGATAATTCGTCCATTTTAGTACCGTTTCTTTAGTAGAATGCATAAGAAAACATTTAATATAATTTTATTGGATCATTGCACTATTAATCAATAATTTAATTTTATGAAATTGTTATTATTATTGTTACTTTAAGAGCTACGTTTGATTCGAATAACTTTAATGTGATTATTGTTGAAAAATAATTACGGAATTAATTGATATTAAAAATATTATTCAATATGGTTTATTGGCATTAAGATAAATTACCATTTTTACTTTTCATTATAAATATCGTTGGAGATTATTGAAAATAGTTCATTTGGTAATATTACTTGAACATAATTGCTTGAAAAACCATATATTTCATTGAGTTTGATTAATTAATTATTGTTGAAATTGAATTATTCTAAATAGGAATCAATAGAACACTTGTAGGAAGGACCATACGCACAGATATTTCATCAAACTAGTCATAATAGCGACATGTTTAATGAAATTTTTCATTTCTATCTCAGTAAAATGTATTTGTTATTAAAAGTATTTTAAGATTTTAGAAGTTTTAGCAAAAATAAATTTTAAAAAATTTGAGTAAAACTGTTCTGCTTTACCAATCTCTATGCATTCAATTATCTCTGTGAGATTTAATCTAGAGAAGTTTTGTGACATTTTCTAATATAATTGGATATCATTCCATGTTATTATATGGTACAATAATTGGTCTACTATTGTACCGTTCAATTATTAGAATGCATAAAAAAACATTCAATAAAATTTTATTGAATCATTGCGCTGTTGAACAATAATTTTTTAAATTATAAAATTGTTTTTGTTATTGTAAGATAACTTTATGAATAACGTTTGTTTTGAATATTTATAATTAAATATATTTTAATAAATAATTATAAAATTATTTCATATAAAAAATATTATTCAATTTTTAGTATCATTAAGATTAATCGTCATTTTTACTATTGATTGATTAGTAATATTTTGTCAATTATTTTGCTGATCTCATTAGACGTGTCGCAAACAATTCAATAATTACAAAAGATTTTGCCTTGATAGTTAAAATACTAATTGTCTGCGACTAGCTTGATAAGATCATCAAAATTGCTTTAGAAACGTTGCTAATCTATCAATGAAGAATTATAGTTTAGTTTTTGACCTGTTTCCCCCTATTCGATCATTACATTTTTAATAAAAGACCAATTATGGGGGGAAATATACTATCTTAGATGGAATGATATTTCATAAATTTTAATAAATAATAAGTAATAAACATTCAATCATATTTTATTAGACAGACTTTATAAATATTTGTTGTCACAATGTAAGTCAATAGTATAATATAGGACAAGAACATTTTATTAAATCAAGTTCTATACAGCTTTTAATTATAAATAACTACACAAAAATTTTTTACCAAAATATTATAGTAATATTTTACTAATAATACCATAATATTATAAGTAATGAGATTTTCGTTTTGCATTGAATTTATAAAGAAATAATTAATCTAATTAAGATTGACGCAAAGTAATGACTTTATTCAACAATCATTAGAAATTGTCGAGTTAGAAAACACAATTTTACTTTTTTTTGATGAGCATGATTGAAGTATATACTTATTTAATATCATTTTACCTTCTTGAAAATATATAAAATTTTAATTTTAATTTGAAATCATGCTTGTAGCTCTTAGAGACCCTTAAGATAATTATATATGTTATGTACTGTTTGATTCTATCTCGCGTTAGTCAAATAAATAGTTCGGACTCTTTCTGTTATATTTGTAATCGCGTTTCCGAGAGTAGAAAGAAGTTGACACGCATATACTCTATAAGAATTGAAATTTCAATATTCACCGAATAGCAAACACAATATTCGCTGTTTCCATGAGCCGTTTTGAAATATAATTGAGTATTGTTACACCTATCGGGGAGAAGCCCGACAGCGCCGCAACAAATGTTCAATTCTATTTCTAGGCAATTAATGATTTTATAGAAGGAGATATTCTAAGACTATTTTTGCTTATAAGAGAGAGTCTTATGAGTTGAGCGCTTAGATATCGTAAGGAAAGGAATTAGCAGGCTAACCACTGAATAATGAAATTAGTCTCAGGAAATAGCTGAGTATTTATTTCGATTCAATGTTCGCGCTGCTAAGCAAGGTAGGATAGTGAATCCTCTTGCCGCATCGACGAGCGAATTTATACTTGCGAAATTGGCTCCTTTCTACGCTTGATAGCTCCTACAACGCTATTTTTGAAATTAACATAAACTTTGCAAATGTTTTGTCACAAAATGGCTTGATTGAAATTGAAAATTGATGATTTAAAAAATCAAGTATGAAATAACAAATTTTTTAACATAAATCGTTTCTCGAGGAAAAATCGCCTTTTAAAGTTATGAGTGATATAATTTTGATATACAAATAACATAAAATTTACAATAAATTTACGGAAAATTTTTACATAAAAAAATCGCTTGTGATTAGTGGGACATTATTCAAAATAAAAGCAATTAATTTAACTATCCAATTTTGAATAATAATTAAAAAACGAATTTGTAAATTTCTCTTTTAGCCATTTAAATTTCAGCAAATTGGTAACAATCCTTATCATTAATTTTATAGATATATATAGTCGAATCGCTATCTAGCAACGCAATTTTAATTGTTTAAATAAATTATAAATTTTTTATTTATTGATAACTTAGTCAAAAATTAGTTAATAAAGTGTCAAATTCTTGCTTCTCTGTTTCATTACGTTACGATCGCATTTGCATAGACGAATTTGCAATATAATTATTTGTTGCAAAATAACTAACACTATAGTAGGTAAACTAGAGAGGCCATAACTCAGAGGGGTATCAGCTCACTGAGTTGAGACGCATGAGCTGATGCGTGTGCATCTTCAGCTCAGCACTGTCAACTCACCTCACCTCCCCCCTAGTAAGCGGCCTGTGCATTGTCGACTCACTTCCCCCACCTATTGAGTTATATCGGTGCGTTCTACGTACTCCCCTTTCCCCTACTGAGTTAATGTGTTCTGATGACGTGTGTTCTCCCCCCCTCCCCCTGCCCTACTGTGCTATGATGCTCGTGCGATCTACGCACTCCCCCTCTCTTATACTATGCTTATGTGCTCTGACGCCCGTGCGTTTTCTGCACTTCCCCCCTTCCCCCAACTAATCTAATTCCTATACTATGCGGATGTGCTCTGACGCCCGTGCGTTCTCTGCCTTCCCCCTTCCCCTACTGATCCGATATGCTCGCGATGCGTGCATTCTGTGTTACGCGTTTTGATTTTTATTATGTGTGTGTGTGTTAAATTTTTAGATTTATCGGAAAAAAAACGGACGGATCGGGGGATCGAACGCGCGTCCTCTGTATCTGCAGGCGGATCCTCTACCGATGGAGCCACTGTCACTGGTACCACGTACGATTCCTATTGTGTATACGTATATTGGCTACACGATTGATATATAGGGAGGGCCCAAGCGCTAATACATACAAATAATAATAATACTAATATATATACAGGGTGGCCCATTTTAAGTGATCCACTCAGATATCTAGATTGGAGTGAGTTTTATCGAAAAAAGTTTCAGACAAAAGTTACTCAACTTTGAGGGGGCCATGTTTCTATGACCTTGGATTTGACCTTGGAGGTCATGTTCAAGGTCATTTCAAGGTCAACTTTGTTTTTTTAAATAGGAACCCCCATTTTTGACCCCGGATTCGGAAAGAGCGGGAAATTTTACGTCCAAAACGGTATTTTTAAATTTTTTTTCATGGCCTTGAGAAGGTTGATTTAAGGTCAAATGCTTGAAAAACTGCATAAAAGCGTTTTTTTAATTTTTAAGATATCGAAAAATGACCTCTACAAAATTTGTTC